TATATGATAAGGTAGCTCTGGATATACAATGGGGAACAGACAGCCTCTTCAACAACTGGTGCTGTCAGAACCAGACAGCTACACATAAGAGAATGAAATTAAATAATTGTCTAACTCAGTATACAAAAGTAAATTTAAAATGGGTCAAAGACTTAAATGTAAGTCATGAAACCATAAAACTCTTACAAGAAAACATAGGCAAAACTTTCCTGAATGCATATCCTTGGACAAGGGGAAAAAAAGCAAAAATGAACAAATAGTTCTACATCAAACTAAAAACTTCCTGTACAGGAAAGGACACCATCAGTAAAACAAAAAGGCATCCTACAGTATGGGAGAATATATTCATAAACAACATGTCTGATAAGAGGTTAACATCCAAAATATATAAAGAACTAACATGCCTCAACACCCAAAAGACAAATAACCTGATTCAAAATGGCAGAATATCTGAACAGACTCTGTCCAGAGAAAAAATTCAGATGACCAACAGGCACATGAATGCTCCACATTGCTAATTATCAGGGAAATGCAAATTAAAACCACAATGAAATACCACCTCACACCAGTTAGGATGGCCAACATCAATAAGAACAACAAATGCTGGTGAGGATGCGGAGAAAGGGGAGCCCTCCTACACTGCTGGTGGGAATGTAAATTAGTGCAACCACTGTGGAAACCAATATGGAGGTTCCTCAAAATACTAAAATTAGAAATGTTATTTGACTCAGTAATTCCACTCCTAGGGGTTTACCAGAAGAAAACAAAATCCAAGATTCAAAAAGAAATGTACTCCTACGTTTATCACAGCACTATTTACAATAGCTAAGATACAGAAGCAACCTACGTGTCTGTCAGTAGATGAATCGATCAAGAAGATGTGATACATATACACAATGGAATATTATTCATAAGAAGAAAACAAATCCTACCATTTGCAACAACATGTATGGATGTAGAGGGTGTTATGCCCAGTGAAATAAGCTAGGCGGAGAAAGATAAGTACCAAATGATTTCTCTCATTTGTGGAGTATATCAACGAAGCAAAACTGAAGGAACAAAACAGCATCAGACTCAACAGACTCCAAGAAGGGATTAGCGGTTACCAAAGAGGAGGGGTTAAGGAGGGTGGGTGGAGAGGGAGGGAAAAGGGAATTGAGGGGCTTTATGATTGGCACTCATGGTGTGGGGTGGGGAATCACGAGGAAGACAGTGTAACACAGAGAAGACAAGTAGTGACTGTGGCATCTTGCTATGGTGATGGACAATGACTGGGATGTTAGGGGGAATTTGTTAATATGGGTGAATTTCATGACCACAGTGTTGCTCATGTGCAACCTTCATAAGATTGAATATTAATGATACCTTAATTTTTTTTTATATGTGGATCCCACATTTCTCCCTTTATTATTATTATTATTTTTAATAAAATGCTGAAGTGGTAGGTAGATGCAAGATAAAGGTAGAAAACATAGTTTAGTGTTGTAAGAGAGCAATTGTAGATGATCAGGTGTGTGCCTGTAGACTATGTGCTAATCCAAGCTAGACAAGGGCATTAAAACATCCACAGATGCAGA